TGAAGCCATCAAACATCGATTTAGATATCTGCTTTGTCATCATCCATTCCTTGCCTTATGAAGGTCTTCCAGCGTTTGGATCATTCTCTCAGAAAATACTCAAAATCACTGCCAATATGTTTAATGGTAATAGTAATATTGGCCGTTGTACTATGGTTGACATTTATAAAATCAACAATATTACTGGTCTTGCTCTGGCATCTCGGTTTCTGTCACTTTCCCACTGCCGTAAGGTTTCCTCCTTGTGTCTTTTCTATAAATATTTTCGTGGTAATTGTTCGGATGAGCTTTTCGTTATGGTACCTAGACTTTCTGAATTTAAGCGCAGTAGTAGACTAGCATGGAAATCTCATCAATTTACAGTTGAGTTGGCTAGGCTTGTTTGCTGGTTTAGTTTGATAACAGTTTCTTTTCTCGCACTTTTCACTTGTGGAACTCCCTTCCAGCTCCATGCTTTCTAGCCACCATTAATCTTCAAAAATTTAAATGCAATGTCAATCGCTATCTACTGTCCACTTGATTACTCTTATTTTGTTCTCGCTCCCTACTTATGTTTCAATTTCTAATTCTTCTGTATCCTTAAACCCTATTAACGCTCCTTCAAGTATTGATGGGAGTTTCCTTCCAAACCTTTTGTTTGAAGTAGTGTGGAATATCAACATCTTAATTAAGTCGTTATGTTATTTTTTAGCTACATGTGATATCCAATTTAGCTGTTGCTTCAGTTGAAAGTCATAAAGGGATATGGTTACAGTTATCTGGAACAGTTCTTTGGTTGTGATTCTGTAGCGCCAGTCCACAATTTTCGAGGAAGGATAGTCTTCGACAAGATCCACACGATTCATTCACTCAAGGCTATATTTAACCATTGGTCCAAGAAATCATTTGTAGTTTATATATTTCTGAACGGGTTTGGCACCATCCATGACATCTAGACGAACGTTTGGATCTGACGAAGCTATTTAAGTACATGACTCGAGGTTTTAGGCTAATTTTTTGGAAGTACGGTGGTGTAATGCTTAGCTGGTCGGATTGAGGAATCGAATTCCAATCGAGTTCATTACGCGTTAATATCCTTGGGAAAGGTAGGAATCCATCTTTTCTCTCCCATCTATGGGTAAAATAGTAGGAAAGACTTGGTCCTATAAGCAGTCTAGGAGAAGGAAATTCTGAATTCAAACTACCTGCTGCTTTGTAGGTCCTGAATCTTGAGGCAAAGTCTAGAAGAAAGTAACTTTTTTTAAAAAAAATCCACCTCTGAGAGGATCCCCGATGCAAAAGGAATCTGCAAGCCTTTGCACTATTCTGCTTTGAAATTTCAATCGAGTTCATTACGTGCTAATATCCGTGGGAAAGGTATGATTCCATCTTATCTCTCCCAGCTTTGGGTAAAATAGCAGGATAGACTGTGTCTTATAGACTTGGGTGGCAACGAGTCTAGGAGAAAGAAATTCAGAATTCGAACCACCTGCTGTTTTGCGGGTCTTGCCCCTTGAGGCAAAGGCTAGAAGACGGTAACTTCAGTAAGAAATCTACCTCTGAGAGGAGGGACGAGGGTAACAATAACATCTTCGGTGAAAATGGAACCGACAAGCACTATTCTGTCTTGAATGTCACCATGAACCACAATTTTGAGATGGAGAGGACAACAGTGGTGTCGCGAAATGTGGTAACTGAATAAAATGAACGTTTTAGTTTTGTATCAATTTGCGGTGTTGGATGAAACTACACCTAACGCGGTCTATTGCATGTTCAGTTGCCTTTACTCCTATATTAAATTTGTTATAACTGATCAATAAAAAAAGGTCTTTGAAGCGTTTAATACTTACTCATTCTACATATTGAATTTTTATGTTTGATCCACCGTGGGGTCCATGGCTTTTGCGTATTCACTGAATCTATTAGATATCAGCGTTCACAAATTTTTGTTGAATCTAGTTTGTAAGATGCCGAATGTTGTATTTATTTTCTTTGGTTCAATCAGTAACAGCATGTGAGTGGCGATTGTTCTACATTTTTTCCCACTTCGTCCATGTCTACCTGCTGTGAATATCCAATAATGAAGTGCTCAATATCTTTCCAGCATGACGAACGTTTTCTCTCCCAATATTTTTCTGTTCCCCGTGGTCTTCTTCGACCAAGAACGTTAGAACTCCCGCTTTGCCAGCTACTAAATTATTTATATCAAAAGATAATTCGTCTTCCTCGACAGCTTGTTTGACATTCCATTTTCTTTCTGCTATGACTGGAAATTTTTTGATGCATATGCTTCTTGTTCCCACTAAGATTTATTATAGGCGCACACAATCTTAACTAGATAATAATAAACGCAAATGACACAAAGCTAAGGTAGACAGAAGAAAATCTGCAGGAACTTCTAGATAAGTTAGTAAAGGAAAGCTGGAAGAAAGGACTAACCATAGATTGAAAGAAGACATAATGTATCGTCGTTAGAAAGATAGCTCAAGATGTGAACTACAACTTTGGGACAAATTGAAATAGTGAAAGTGCTTTCCAAAAGCTAAGCAAAGTATTAAGGAATAGAAAAATTTCGTTGCAATCAAATTGATTGATTTGTTTTCTATTCTACGGTTTCTCAACTATTTGCAAATTGCTTTAAGCCAGAAAATATTTTTATATTTTCAGAATTTTTTTCAGATAATAACGGTTTTGTTATACGAGTCTTACTAATTAACCAACAGTTTGGGGAAGAAGTGGTGGATTTATGCCTTTTCCAGGCTTTTTTGTTGGTAAGTGAACCCAACGAGAATTGGAACTCAGCTTTCAGATTAACAATTCCAAGTCATTTTCCATTACACTACCCACACATCCAAAATTACAGCACCCGGTATTCCCTAGCGGTCACCCGTGTAGGTAATGACTAGGCTCGCCGTAGCTTAACTTCAGTGATCTTACTGGAAACAAAGAAATGGTTACGTAATATCAATCCTCTTACATAGCCGTGAATGCTGAAGTTCCTCACAATGAAACTCAAATAAACAAAGTATGGATTAAATGAATGTCGGTGATATGAAAGAGTATGACTGGCTTGTGTTTATCAATGGAAATATATTAATTACTATTCTTTCTAGATATTTTCTTCGTGGGGAAACATGTTCTTTTTTATTAAGGTGAATTTCAGGCATTTAATATTATATATCTCGGCATATAATGTCGTGTTGGTTCTGTGTTTTTGCAACAGCATAGGATCTATATACGCGAAACATGCAGAACCCTAAAAGCCCGCATCTATTAACACAAGAGAGACCACTATTACAATAACCCACTGAACTCTCATGTAAAAGATAGAAATAAAACAGGCTATGAATTTGATTTAAAAAACACCAAACACGAACATCTTTCACTACGAAGCAAATAATTAAAAGGAATATTAATTAATATCCTTCCATCGACAACATACACTAGACACACATTTTATATTGCTACTATTCAAAACCCATTCTTAAAGAATGAAACATTCAGACACCTGCAAAGGTATTTTCTTTCACTACAACACACCAAATACACCCTGATACAAGCAAAAAATCATATATATATATATATATATATATATATATATATATATATATATATATATATATATATATATATATATATAAAATAATGTAAATAATTACAATACCTCATCTCAGACAAATATTGAATGTGTTAAAATTATTAAACTTTTAAACAAAAAAAAATCTGGAAAACACTTAATGTTTAAAATTTCAAAAAAAAAATTGTCGATTTAACTATTTGAGCCCTGCTTTCATGAACAATTTTAACCTTTCTGCCTGATCTCCTATATTGCATTAGTTCGAATAATATTTGTATTTTATATAAATAATACCTTATATAATACTACCTTATGAAAATTGAGATGCAGTAGATTGGGGGACCTCGTATCGATTCGTAGACCTACAAGACCCTTGCACCGGCCTTGGTTGACAGTAATCTATTTAAGTTTCTTGAAGACGTTTAAGTACGTCCCCAGCAGCTGAAGTGCCAAGCACTACACTCATGTACTTGTAAAAGCCAGTAATACTTACACAGACTATTTCTGCCTTGATGATTTAAACATTGATTCCGCTCTATATATATATATATATATATATATATATATATATATATATATATATATATATATATATATATATTTATATTCATATATCAAACAATAAAATTTGGTTTGAAATGGAGAATTGTATTGAATTGGTCTTTAAATAAACGGCTGAGACTCAGACCAAAAATTCATAAGAAATTCTTTGTTATTTTCTTATTTTATTTTATTTTTTTTTCATTTCGAAGTTTTTGCTGAACAATGAGTCAGATATAGGAACATTTAATCCTCCGTTATACATACTCAAAGCAAATGACATTAAATTTTTTTTTTTTCGACTGGGCGAACAATTCTAATTGTAAAGAAACAAGTAAAACATGAAAAATCAATATTTCCCATGAATTTTTCATCGAATTTTTAATCAAAGAATTATTTAAAGAGGGTTCTACGAATGGGTTATTTTTCGCAGTTTGAAAAGCGAACTTATTTTTTATTTCATGTATTTTTTTTTCTTTTTGCACATGGTTGCTATTATCCTGAACGTCCAGATTGAAGCCACTTAAAAATGCACGACTCCATCGAAAGAGAGGCAAATGAGCAGATTTTACTTACAGACAAACATGATTCTCAACTCGTTTAACTTGAGAGGATATGTAAAACCTAAATTTGCCACGTTTTAATATGCTTATTATTCTTAATTTCGATTTGATTGATTGATTTTTTTATGACTTATCAACCCATTGCAGGTTATTTTAAGCCAGAAAATATTTTTCGATTCTCAGATTTTTGGGCGGATAATAATAATTTAGTGATATACGTCCTACTGTTTAACTTTCCCAAGATTATTTGAGCGGAAGTGAATATAATGAACCCAACTGCAACTTAATTTTTCAGTTTCAATTACAAGCCATTATCCATTACACCCCCCGCAAACCTAAACTTACAGCACTTGGTATTTCTAAGTGGTCACCCATCTAGGCACTGACCAGGCTCGATTTTGCTTAACTTTTGTGATTTTACGAGAACTGGTGTTTCAACTTGATGTTGCCATAAGCGCCTATCAATGGAAACGACGCTGGATAAAGTCTGTGACTTCAGAAGGGGATTTCTTCGGAGGAGATTAAATGCCGAACTGATATATGTTGTAGTTTTCTTTTTGTAGCAATAGTCCCGATACTTTTTGATCAACCCTACGATTACAATACCATTATGCATTACACCAACCTGCACATTCATGCTTGCACCACCTGATATTTCCAAGCGGTCACCCATCTAGGTATTAACCAGGCTCGACGTTGCTTAACTTCGGTGATCGTACGAGAACCGGTGTTTCAACGTGATATGGCCGTAATCCCTCTTAGTTTAGAAAAATATTATGGTACTGGCATGGGAAGTTACTGTCTGTCTCCAGGACATCAAACAGACACTATTTTTCGAGGTATGTCTGCTGTACACAATGAGGCAGAAGATGTCTTAGTAGCGTCCGCAAAGTATATTTTACACTAAGTTGGTTGACATATTTCGTAAACTTCAAAGGGACAAATCACAGTAGCCGAATCATTACCAGGATTACATAAAATTTGTCCACATTTATTATCACTATCTTTAGCCCGTGAAAATTTCGCTCTTTTCTTATTCGGCATTTCTGGTGAATCTTAATTCTTCAATTAAGTAAGTTTATAGCGAGTTCTATGATAATAAAATATCCGTAGAAATTTCCTTATCCCATCGTTAAATATTTGAACTTAACAACTTTAATAAAATATTGCAATAACAATCATGAACGCAGGTCGTTATTTTAAGAAGTAATTGGGTACAAATGTAAAGATTAACAATTGACAACTTTTTCAATTTCACTGAAACAGAACTTAAACACGTCTATCTTTCCTTCATTCATTCATTTTCTCACTGAAACCAAGTAGCGTTTTGGTATGTCTTTTATCTTCAAACGCGATCAAAACGGAATAGTCCATGACTTATGAAGTATTAGCAAGAGATGTTAAGCACTTCTGCCTTTCTTTGTTTTTTTTTTCTCTAAATCCAAGTAACGTCCCCAATAAGACTTTTTTTCCGCGTGTTCGAAACGTGATATTCCATTATTTATGTGGTATTGGCAGGGCGTAACGGTCGTGCGAACTTACGAAGGAAAGGTCAAGAACAATTATTATAGAATTATTATTTGATTTGATATCATCTTCGACGCTTACGCGTTTCGGTTGTGTGATGCTTAACATATCTCCGCTACTACCTACTACTTAAAGATACAGCCCTTTCGTAAGCTGTTTGAAGGAGTGCTGTCACCCGTGCCATCACTTGGGCTTCCTGTGAGGCAGAAAGGTTGCTAGAAATAGTCTCCAACCACAAAAGAGATAAAATGAGCTGATGCTTTGTATTTGCCAGAGGTGAACTCCACCATCACTATGTTTTGTTTTTTTTTATCTCGAGGTACCGCAAAGATAATCTAAGTCCTTCTCAGTCAAGATGGTCGTATCACAGATGAGCCAGTTATTATTATTATTATTATTATTATTATTATAGAGCAAGAGAAGAGATTGCTAACGAACTGATGTTGGGGTACAAATATACAAATTCCAATATACTCCTTATTACACTCAGTCTGATACAGGTATTTTTTTTTTTTTTTTTTTTTTTTTTACAATTCATCCTAGGCTAGGCGATAATGCCACTAAGAAGCAAGTGTATACTGGAAGAGAATGAAAAGATTTTAGACGGAACCAGAGACCCAATCCTAAACAGAGAACAAAAGATAAACGTCTACTTGTGTTTCAAAGACTGGTGAGGATTGTTAACCGGGCGATGGGCGAACTTATTTACTCCTATTGAAGAGATGGAAAAAGAATGAAAAGGAAAAAAAAAAAAATAGTAAATATAATTTCAGACTTCAGGCGGAGACGTTAGCAGTATAGAGTTGAAGTAGCTTTTAGAAGGAACCGGGAGATGAAAACGAGATATACTCCTACTCTGTTTCAAAAAACCGAGGTGATGTGTGAAACGGGCGATGAGCAAACCTATACCAGGTTCTTATATCGCAGAATCAAAAGTGCGACCTGTTGACAGATTATGATGAAAGTAGTGCATAACTTCACAGGTAGGGTCAATTAAAAATATCTTCGAGTGTCACATATGATGTTCCCTTCCTATACCCGCTTATGAGTAGGCGCGAATAGGGTGCCAGTCTCTGAGGGATTGGCCTATCTAGTTATGGTCAGATAAATGGTAAAAAAATCTGTGCTACTGAAAGTTGACTTCAGAAGAAATTTGAGATCAGAAAATCGAAAATTTTTCTATGATTCAAAGCTACGGATATTTTAAGATACACCTAATAAAAATCACGGCCATTATATTATACACGAAATTCTAAGAGCTTAGTTTTGTTTTATATTATATATTTTTTTTTTTAATCGGAATCACCCCAGGAAAGGCTGTAGTGCCACTAAAATACAAGGTTTTACAGGGTGTGGAAGAATTTGGAACATAGACGTTAATTATTATCAGAGATGAGCCAGAACAAAATAAGAGTAATCAGGAGGACAGTGGATAGAGATTGACATGGCATTTAAATATTTACAGATTAAAGTTGGCTAGAAAGCATGGGGCAGAAAGAGTTCCACAAGCGAGAAGTGCGAGAAAAGAAACTGTTAGCATAGAATTTACGGCTACATCTATCCAGCTCAACTGTAAATTGATGACGCCAGTCCAGTGCTGAGCTTAAATTAAAAAAGTCTAGGTACCAGAGTGAAGAGCATTATTTATTTATAAAATTTACAAAATATGGCAGAAGGCCAAAATGTGGAGTGGAGAAAAGGACAGTCTTCTTCTGTTTTTAACAGTACTAAACATACCACAATATTCCTAACACCAAAGTAACGCATTCTAACTTACCTTACTTACTACATTCACCATAATACCTCATTGTCTCTATGAAAGTCCTAACTAGTCCCCATATGTACAATTCATTGTTTGTGGGGGGGGGATGAAATAAAAAGTTAAGAAAAATCTAAACCCCACTGCCATAGCGGAGAGCTCACTTAAACAATTACCATGAAATTACCGCGGTTACGGCATTGGTAAAGTAAATAGGTTTGAGCCACCAGATCAGGACCAATAATATTGCAGATTCTTCTTTGGACTTTTGATATATATATATATATATATATATATATATATATAGATAGATAGATAGATAGATAGATAGATACCTGTTTTTTTTTATTTTAGGAAAATGTTAGAAACCGTTAAAAATACATTACTGTTATTTATTCGAAAAAGTAAATTATGAAACCACCATGTAATTTAACTTTAAGCCGTGATGCTGAGTTGAAACAAAGAGAAGAGTTACTTTCGAAATGCGAGTTATTTACAGATCAATGCAGAATACAAAATAACTATCGACAATTTCGCTATAGATTCTGGGAAATCACAATCCCCCATGGTCTTTTAAACAGGAGTAGAGGTTTATACCTTGTTTCCGGTTTAGAATTAGGTTTCCGGTTCCTTCTAAGATCTACTTCAACTCTATACTTCTAACGCCTTCACTTAAAATTCTGAAGTTTTATTTACTATCTATTTTTTCCTCAATAGGAGTAAATAAGTTAGCCTATTGTCAGGTTCACCCTCCTCCCTGGTCTGTTAAATAGAATTACACTTTGTTTCCTGTTTAGGATTGGGTTTCTCACTCTCTTTCACTCCTAGTAGCTCGCTGCGTCTTAGTGGCATTATCGCCTTGCTTGGCGTGAATGGATCTAAACAAAATATCAACTTTTTCTCTAATAATGTAAAAGATGGTAATGGAAACTTATTAATTATCAATTACTGCCATGTAAGTCACGTAACATATTAATCCCGTAGATAATGGAGATCGCCTCCTTGTTTTATAACACTGCATTTTTGTAACTCTTCCAATACCGAATATAGCCGTACTTCCATTGCCTTTTGTGGGTAATGGCGACAATTTTCTAGCGTTCTGAACTGGGTTACCGTTCTGCCTAAGTGCAAGCAACTAATGTAAAATGAATCGATGGCTATCACAGCTGAACGTAAAGATTTCTTTCCTTTACTGATGAAAGATTTGCCACACAATAAAAGACTGTTCTATAAATTAATATACACTCTTCTATATCTTTGAACTTTAAAAAAATGAAATATAAGGGTGGTATTTGTATCTACCGTTATTAAAGCGGTTAGAACAGCCAGAAACACTCGAATGAAGAACTGTGATCGTTCAAGTGTCAGCATCATTCTGCGAAGAGTTCTGGCATATTGAGGCGGGAATTCTGTCACTCAAGTAAAGGTCACCAGAAATGTCACGAAAAATAGATGATAATGATAATCATAATAATTTCAGATAAATAATAGATCATTCCATTTTGAGAAAAGACGGGAGAAAAAGATATATTCTTGATTCTGTTTCGTTTTATAAAAAGAAAAAAGAGAAGAAATAGAAAAAGAGAAAGAAAGAAAAAACAAGCAAACAGAAAAAAAATGTTTAATTTAGAGATATTATATTTAATCTCTTATTAATCTGTCTTCTATTTTTTAATCATTTCATCCCAAGCAAGGTGACAATACCACTAAGACGCGGAGGGGTGACTGGGAGTGAAATAGAATGAGACAAATTTAGTGAAGAGAAGTTTGAAAGAAGAGAACAAATGGATTGAGGAAGGCACAAATGGCGATTGACGTTGCATTTACATTTTTTGAAATTTGTAGGTGATAGGGAAGCAAATCACAGGCGAGAAAAGAAACTATTGAAATAGAACTGGCGGTTGCATCTAGAAAGAAACAAAATGGTGAAAGCTAGTTGCTGATCTACGAATAAGCCTAAATTCACGCAGTCGAGGCATTAATGAGGAAAGTTTATTAAATTCACACAGTCGAGGCATGAAGGAGGAAAGTTTATTAAATTCACGCAGTCGAGGCATGAAGGAGGAAAGTTCATTAAATTCACCCAGTCGAGGCATCAAGGAGGAAAGTTCATTAAATTCACCCAGTCGAGGCATCAAGGAGGAAAGTTCATTAAATTCACCCAGTCGAGGCATCAAGGAGGAAAGTTCATTAAATTCACCCAGTCGAGGCATCAAGGAGGGAAGTTTATTAAATTCACGCAGTCGAGGCATCAAGGAGGAAAGTTCATTAAATTCACGCAGTCGAGGCATCAAGGAGGGAAGTTTATTAAATTCACGCAGTCGAGGCATCAAGGAGGAAAGTTCATTAAATTTAAGCAGTCGAGGCATCAAGGAGGAAAGTTCATTACAACAATTGCCATGAAAATATTATTAGAAAAAACGGAGGAATGCCGCGTAACGTAGATGAGAAAGTGACTGAAGTCGA